AATCATGATATGGGTCATGGAAGTTCGAGAAATTTTTAGAAATTATGTTTTTGGTTTTTGTGTGTGTTTGTGTGTTATAGTGTTTGATACTCTTTATACTAATAGAAAAAAAGTTGTATAATGATTCCAGGTTATAATGATGCTTAATTATTTCATACAAGCTACTGATAAGAGCTGATGATATAGTTTGAGTTTGGGCAAAGTCACTACTGCTATGATGAAAAGAAGGGAGTTCTATGTGGAAAATCTTGTAATGTTTATTTTTTCTTTCTTCATTTTTTGCAATTTTTATGCATGACTCTGAGCTTCAAGATAAATAATTTTATCATTCCAAAAGAATAAACAGTAAGAAGGCACTGTTTCCTAAGACTTTTGTTTGTCCCTAAATTTAAAAATCAAAGGTGAAAATATTAAAGAAAGAAAACTTTTAAAAGAAAGTAAAGGTATAAGAAGGGCTGTGTACCTTCTAGAAGCAGTAGATGAGAATCATTGGCTTTTCTAGTTCATAGAAGCAATCTATATTCCTTGGCTCAGAGCCTCGTGATCTGTCTTCAAAGTCAGTAGCAAAGTATCTTTGATTTGGATCTCTGATTCTGACCCTTCTGCTTCTTCCTCTTATAAGATCTTTGTGATAGCTTACAACAAAAATATCCAGAATACTTTACTCATTTCAAGGTCCTTAATCCTATCTACAGACTGCTTTTCCAGGCATGGTATCCTTTCCACAGCCTGAGGATTAGGGCAGGCATGTCATGGATTAGGGGGGCATTATTCTGACTACCACAAATGTTTTGTAACATTGACTGTTCATTAGAATCACCGAGGAATTATAAACTATTCTGATATGCATTCTGTACTCCAGAACCAGAAATATCAGAATTTCTAGGAGTTGGGACCCAGGCATCAGTATTTCCTAAACTGCCCCAGATAATTCCCTTATGCAGCCAATATTGAGAACCACTGGGGTAGTTTTCTGTTGCAGTGTCACATTCTCTACATGTCTGAACACAAATGGAGACATCCTACTTGCACAATGCTTATGATACTCTTGGAGAGCCTTCAGCCACTAACGAAAGACCTCAGGAGTTCTAAGGTTACTATGACGTGCTGACCAGAGTAGTATGAATGTGCAGAACACTACCGGGAGAGGTAACAGAAAAGCGATTTCTTATAAAAACAAATTGCCCCTTACAAGGGAGTATGTTGCTTATCTATTCCATTCATGTAACTCAACAACTCCAGCAGTGTTATAGGCTAATGATGGATTTGATCCATATTTCTCAGTCTGCTTCTTTTCCTAAGTAAGCCTGAACCCTAAATTTATATTGACTTTCTAAAAGTATCTCTGCATCTTTGCTTTTCTCGTTACTTCCTGCATGAAATTCCCTCTCCATTTAACTATTTCCATTTGTCCTTCTTTTCCCTTAAGATCTAACTAATCAGCCATCCTTGGAGCCATTCTAGGATTCTCCAGGCTGCCAGAAGATGTTTTGGCTGTAATGTAATGTGTCTTTTTGCCTGAACTCTGTTTCATTATTATCTCTCTCTTCAAATTGTCTCAGTTCATAACCTTCTTTAAGCAGAGACTGATTTTTAATTTTTTTGCTTAGATAAGTATCTTGTACCTGGTAGGAAGACAGCGAACAGTTAATTATGGTTTTGAACCTTCTCTCTCACCCCCATATTAGGTATCAGTTCTTTTCAAGAAAGCTTTCTTGACCACACATAAAAAAGTTAAAAAGCAGTATTATGTCATCATGATTCTGTAAGAAAGTGTCCCGTTAGATTACATTTGTCTGTGTAGTATCAGTTACTTTGAAGTCTGAGTTTTTTCTGTTTAATACAGGCATGACAAAAGTGATCTTTGAATTAATACTTGAGTATATACCAGCCTAGATCCTCAAATTGTTGGAAGGTACTCTGGAGCTACAATGCAGCACCAGAAGCTGCAGAAATTGGAATCCTGCTAATCCCAGGGGAACACTGCTAGGAATGAGGACCAAGAGCTTCTCTTTCCTCTGTCCAAGATGAAACCCTTTGGTGGATAAGCCACAATTAGTCAATCTCCTGTCATTGGGGATTTTATTATTTTAGAAGTTCTGTGAGTCATAATAAATCTGCATACTATAATGTTATCAACAGTTCGTTCTTTACATAATTTGTTACATTATTTTACTATTTTCTAAATTAGTAGTCTATTACTGAAATATAACCAGGGTAGTTTCCATCATAATTATTTAAAAAATCTTTTACTAGAGCTTTATGAAAATATTTTCAAGACCAACACGTTAAGGCTTTGGTAATGGGATTGAAATTAACATTAAATATGTACCATTTTAAGATCAGTTACCTTTTGAAACCATGATTCTTTCATATTTAGTGTTTTAGACCTGTTTTGATCTACAGAATGTTATTTGGATATTGAAATAGCCATAAGGTTTTAGAAGAGTATCATTATCTACCCTGTCTGCCTTATGTGTACTTCTGGGCATTCAGTTTTTCACAATCATTACCAATAATGTTAGTAAATAAAAAAGTAATGAAGGGTCATAATTATGAAAGTCTGTTTTAATTTAGAAAAACCTGTTGCCCTATCTTTCTGCTTGATACCCAGAGACTGGTGTTGTCGAGAGTATTTGGACATTGAGAAACTGATTGTACAGTAAAGATCGCAGAACACCAATTTATTAATTCCATTAAGAATGATAATGCCCACACAAACCCCAAACACTAAGGTTTGTTGTAACAAAGGCATAATCTCCTTATAATTAAGCTACAGGTGAAACCAACACATAATTAAAAGTTCCTTTATTAATTTAGTGTGATAAATCTCTTCACAAAGACCTTAAATATTCCAAGTGTATTTTGTCCATCCATTCTTTACATGGGAATAGAAGATTGCTTGCAAAAGACATGATCAGAAGGGCAGGAGTTAAATATCTCTAGTGTTTAGAAGTTATTACATATAATAATATCAATTTGGTGATTGGAATAGCATTGCCAATGAAACTAAAACTATTGTTTCAGTTCTAGTACCTTACTTTCTCCTCCATATTTTAGATTATACACTGAATACACCTCAGTAATGGAATCAGAAATAATTAAAGATACTCAACATGTGATGGCCAACTCTACTTCTGCTTTAGACAGTGTATCATGGTAGCTGGTAAAATTTCCTCCTTTTTTTCTGTTCTTAGCTAATCAGTACCTCTACTGTGAACAATTCTTTTTAAACACTTGCTAATACATTTGATCAATTTACAGTTAAGTACACTAGTCAGGGAGCATTCTCTAATGGGAGACTTTGTATTTCATGATGATTTTATAGTAAAACTGCTGGAAGGAAGTTTGCTTTGTTAGTATTTGTATTTTGAGGGTGAGTGGCCATACTGCAGTTGAAAAACTTGTAAAATAAGCAAGGGTTTTTATTTACAGTATTGAGTGTCTATTCTATGTTAAGTACTCTGCTAGAAATTTTTCATATGCCTGAAGAGGTAGATATTATGTCTTACTTTAAAGATGAGTAAATTGAGATTGATTAAATTTCATGACTATTAAGTGTCAAAGTCAATATTTTAACCCGTGTTTGTCTCATTCTAAAGACCTCATTTTTTTTTTCTACTCTCCTGTCATTTCTTTTGTGGTACCGGGGATCGAACTCAGGACCTCACATTTGCCGGGCAGGCACTGTGCTGCTGAGCTAAATCCCCGGCCCTCTCCTGTCATTTATTAATAGGTTATCTTCAGTACGTGAATAGGTTTTCCTTTTGAAAATTCTATCTAATAATTTAATAATGATTAAAAGTACTTTGGGAAATATATTTTAAATTTAAAAATAATATGCTATGTATAAAGTGGTATAGAAGTAAGTGAATACTTTCTGGCTTGTCATCCTCCTGGTCTGGACTAAGAATGGATGAATCAGTAAGTGCTCTTTGTTGAAAAAATTACAGCGTTTTCAAGGTCAAATCAAGTTTTAAACTACAAGTTTTTACCAAAAATTCATTAAACATTTAAACTCAATTCTATTTCTATAGGAAAGTTTTAATGAACAGGAACTTTATGTTTAATTAAAAATATTTGGCATATGCTTTCAACTCTGATAATATTTCTGAATCAGTTCCAAATATACAGAAAATATTTAATTTCTATTCAGCTATCTAAACCCATTTTCAAGTAGGCCTTACATTATTGAAACAAAATATTCTTCTTTGGGTTTTTTTCTTTTGTTTCAGTATTCTATAGAGTAAAAAAACTCAGTGAATTCGGAGAGGTTAGTCATTAATAGAGTTCTGAAAGTAGAAGTGAAATATTTTCAGGTTTGTATCTTTTTAAACTGCCTTGCAACTTTGGTATTAAGGCTGAATGCCAAAATTGAGTGATTTGGGGAGGTAAGGAAAATGTTTCAAGATTAACTGTAACTAAAATTTATTCAATTCTTAAGCTTTAAACAAATTCCAAACTTTTTGTCAGTTGTTCTGAGATTTGCGTCTAACCAATATTTCTACATTTCACAATAATCATACTTTTAATAAAATGCAAATTTGTTAAAATGGCCATCATTTACTGATTTAATATATTTTTGATGAAGGAAATTTTATTTTCTTTCCCTTAAACTGCCAACAGTTTGCTATTCATAGATGTTCTGTCTTCAATAAGGTCTATCAAAGTGTAAAACTAGATGGGTATTTTTTTTTCCTTTAGAATGGAATGGTCTTTCATTATGCAGTGTTCTTAGGTGAATTCTCTTGTTTAAGAAGCCAGAATACAAGAGAGTGCTATATTAGTGTATTATTCTCACAACAAACAAGCACTGTTCTGTTGCTACCTGCTTGGCCATTGTTTCTGATTGTGTGTGCTTTGCAGTGGTATTTGGATGGTTTCCTGCTCTCTGCTAGCACAAAAAGGCATTTCTGTTACAATGGCCCCTAACCACACAATGACGGCATTAAGGATTTATGTGGAGGTTTCATTATTTTCTCCTCTTTTGTTCCTTCCAGGATGTCTTCCAAGCGACCAGCCTCTCCGTATGGGGAAGCAGATGGAGAGGTAGCCATGGTGACAAGCAGACAGAAAGTGGAAGAAGAGGAGAGTGATGGGCTCCCAGCCTTTCACCTTCCCTTGCATGTGAGTTTTCCCAACAAGCCTCACTCTGAGGAATTTCAGCCAGTTTCTCTGCTGACGCAAGAGACTTGTGGCCATAGGACTCCCACTTCTCAGCACAATACAATGGTAGGTTTCTCATGGTCTATTGTGCCTACACTCACTTTTCTCACCAGTGTACTCCTGTAATAGTTTGGCTTCAGTCCCTTGCTTTATAATTATCATGTACTTAATAGCCATACACAAGATTCACTCCCGGCATGTTAGAATTCTTTAAAGTAAATTGGTTCCAATAGGGAGTATAAAAATGCTATTTTGTTTGTTTCTGTTTTTCAAGAATCAAGAATCCTGCTTTTGAGACACTTACAACTTAATTGTAGCCGAAAACACCCGTAAAATATAGTAATAATGTTAAAGTAACACATCTAAAATTAGAATGAAAGCTGAATGTCATAATCTTCCTAATAAAAAGTGTATCCAGATAGAGTTGCAGAGAATATAACTTCCCCATTTCCACCATGATAAGTCAGTGTTTTTCCATTTTTTGCTGTCCTCCTATTGGATTTCAGTAATCCTACAATATTTGGAATGTATTTCATAGTGACTATGGTTTTCTAATAAGACTAATTTACATTTCTAACTCAATCCCATACATGCTGTTCTTCTGATAGTTTAGTAATTCCGTGTTGCATCTTATTCTCCAATGTGTTGTTCCAAGTAATTCCTTTGCCCTCCACCCCGGAGTCTGGGTCACTATAGAAGATCAGGAATCTTGGGCTTCATGGTCAAGAGGAGAGAAGGCAGCACAGCATCTTTGTCTGAACCCTAACAGCACACCCAAACACAAGTAAGACGTTTGGGTCCTTCTTAGCAAATTAAATATGTAGAGTCATCATGAAGAGGCCGTGTACTTAACTGCTAGCAATGCCACCATCATTGCTTCCTCATGGCTGCTTGAATGGAAGTCACAGTGGTTGTGACCTCTCTTCATTTTTTCTAGTTCACCAATACTGGTGCTGTTAATTTGTTATACATTCTCATACTTTTAAAGATAGCACTAATTCTGTTAAAACTTTTTTTTCTAGGAAACTATTATATATGAAAAATGTACTTAGTGGTGAAAATGTCCACCTGTTCATGTTATTGAATTAATCATAGAGAATTAAATCAATAAGAATCATTCATTCCAATAGCTGTGGATAGACATGATGCTTTGATCTTTCATGTTAGATTCACCACTTTAATTCTTATGGGTCAAGCTTTCTGAGTATTTTGCTGTGTGCCAAGACTCTTCCACCAAGAACTTTTAGCTAACACATATGGCACAGAAGTGGTAAGGCACTTCTTAAAACAATAACCCTTCATCTTCACAATAATTCAGTGAGGCATTATTATTAATCCTTTGTACATAATGAAGAAACCGAGGCACAGAAAAGCTAAATAACTTGCCCCGGGTCACAGCTAATAATAAGTGGGTGAAGTAGTTTACCCAGATTGCCTGGCTGTGGTGTTGATTATAACCCTTCCATACTGCAGAACCTTCACAGGGCCACACACATATTTTGTAGTCTGATCTGTCACTTGGCAAGTGAAATCTTACTATCCATAACTCCTTCTTCTTCTCTCTGCTGAATGAATGCCAGTTCTATACAGTGGTATAGCTTTTCATCTTTCAGAAAGGTGAGGCTAGATGAAAGGCAGAAAATGAGTAGTGCACAAGTCAAAAGTTTAGGAAGCCAGGTTCTTCCTTTGGTACTGAATCTTGCAGAGCCTTTTGCCTTCTCTCAGGGAGTGCACTGTTGAATTATTCTTGGGTTGGTTTTCCTGTGATAACACTTATATACATTTAATACAAATATGCTGGATTAAACACAAACAAATATGGCTAGAAGAATACCAAAAAGAGAAGGTGATGTTAGGTATGCTCAAAGACGGAGGGAGCAAAATGTATTGTTATACACCCATGGGGGGGGGGTGCTGTGATGCAGGCAGTTCGTGTAAGTGAAATCATTCAGATTTTAATGGAGAATTTAGTGTAACTACACTTGATCTTAACCAAAAGGCTGAGAAGTGATTAAATTTAGTGTAACTAAATAGAGCCCATGAACTGCCTACTTTGTATCCAGTCTTTTGTTGGATACTATGTGACTAATGTTGAATACAACACAACCCCTCCCCTTGAGGAAATCCATATATAGCAGAAGTTCTTAATCTGGACCTCCTGAAAGTAAATGGAGAATTCTGTGTATATGTGCATATCTGAGTACTGTTAGAGTTTCCAAGGGATTCTCAAGTAGACCAGTAACCCAATGAGGTTGAAATTTGCTATTATATAGGTTAGTGTAGTTTCTATAAAAATGATTCATTTTAGTTTTAGTTATTTCAACACAAACTCTCTCTTACTGTATGTCTATATATTATTATATGTCTAAATGGCTTCTAAATTGATTTCTACTTCAAATGTTTCTCAATTTGATCTGCTTTTCATCTCTCAAGTAAACAGTTGGAAGCATTGTCTATGCGACCTCAAAATTTCAGTGTCTTTCAAATCTTTCTTCCAAATTTCACCAGACTTGTTTCCTTAAGAAACGACATGGAGGGCTGGGGATTTAGCTCAATGGCGCCGCGCCTGCTTCACAAGTGCAAGATCCTGAGGTCCTGAGTTCGATCCCCAGTACCACCAAAAAGAAAAAGAAAGAAACTACTTGGATTGTTTATCTCACTTGGAAACCCTGTGGCTTTTTGCCTGTATAGTTTTATCTGAAACTCCTTACCTTAGCGAAATCTCTATGCAGATTAATGTTACTCTATGGCTTTGTTTTTCTCTCTTTCCAAATCCTGCTATAGACCCAAAGCTCCAGTAATGTCAGGCTTTTCATTCATGCTTATGAACATTAACAGATGCCCTGTGAATGCCAGAGTTTATTCTTCCTACCCGGAAACTCTTCAACTTTTACCCTTCTGGTAAATTGTGATTACCCCACAAGACTAAATTCAAATATTGCTACTTCTTAGGTGCTTTCACTGCTTTCTCAAGATAGAATGGTTATGGCATTATTCTTCCACCCATGACACTTTCTTATATCTCTTCTCATGGTCTACATTATAACTTACGCATTTACATGTCTGCCTTTCTATGTACTATATTTCTTTTCAAAGGCATAGTTTGTGTGTATGTGTGTGTATGTGTGTATGTGTACGTTTCTGGGTTCTAGCATGTAATGTACAATTAATTTATGGCTGAGTTGATATGGGTGGATAAACAGATATATTTTGGGTATAGTGAAAGATCCTAACTCATGGTCACTATGTTTATTTTCTAGAAATTTTAGAACTAAAAGGTACAATCTACTACTGTATATTCAGACAGCAGAAAGTCATAGTGTATTCTGCTGTGAAACTGATTAGGATATATTTTACTCATTTATCAAAATTATTGAATATATTTATAGTACAACATAAATAGTTTTCTTTCTTTTTGTATACTAGACCATTGTCCTATTCACAATAGGTTCTTTTATTTCAGTAAGGAAATACATGCTCTTTTTTCCTACTCATATCTTTGAAAACAGAGAATGTTTCATTGTCTTTGTATTAGAGTTCAATTTGAGAAAAAAAAGACATATTTCATTGTCTATTTATGTGTGACAGTCACACTCCATTCTTAAACGAAGAAGAAAGATTCGGGGAGGTGTGTGCTTTGTGTTGCCCAAATAGTTGAGTTGTGAAGTAAAACCATTGAGTGATTCTTATAATGCTGGTTTAAAGTTATAAAGAGATGCTGTCAGTAGAACACTTAAGTTGGAAAATACTTTGTGAGATAAAATTCCATACAGTTAATGACTGTGGTCATATAGAAATTTTGAGGAATCGGGATACCTTGTTCAGATTCAGGATGTGGAAGTGAGAAGGTTTGAAATTGGCCAGATAAGGGTGTAATTTCTCCTTGCTGAAATTGTGTTTATTTTGGAGAAAGAAACTAAATGCCCAACAAACAGCAGCTCCCAAACAGCTGTAACCAGCATCAGTGCTCAAAGTTCACTTATATTTGGAAAGTTTTACTTGGTGTTCAGAGTATGCTACAGGTGAGCTATCTCAAGCACATTACGTATTTATGTTCATGGAATACTATTAGTTGTCTAATCCACGTGACATTCAGGCACAGATTATTGTAAGTCTTTGGAAAACGCCAATTCTGTTGGTTCCTTCGGTGAAGCTCTCATAATAGCAAAATTTGATTCCTACATAATCTTCAAAAGATTAAAAGCATTTTGAAAGTCTGATTCTGATATAAGTGGAAAAGCCATACTGAACTTTATCCCTATTAATGGTCAAATCTTCCCTCGTCCTTTTGTTTTTCTTTTTTAAAATGTGGATTTTGAGATGGTTGTTTAAGACAGAGCTTCAAAGACAAGCAAGAATCACCGTCATTTGTGACTCATTTTTAATAATAGCTCTGATGCAGTTGGATCTATTGGATAATGCAAGGAACTATCCGGAATATGTCCACATGTCAATTAATAGGAGTATGAACACCAGAAGGAACTGGTGTGAAAAGAGAAATGAGGTAGCATTGTCCAGAGCAGCTTGGGAGCTCTGTGGTGGCCGTTTGGATGCTCATTTTCTGTCTGGTTGCATGCTACTTCTGATGGTTAGATTGTTGTTCCAGTGTCAAATGTGATGTGAAATGAAAGTCTTGACCACCTGTGGTTACTGAATAATCAGTTGTCTATTTTTTAAAGCATATTCTATCCCAGCCAAACTCTTCTGATTCCTTAAGCCACTGTTGTATTGAGTAAACAACATAATATTTTCATTAAATCTTTGAAGTAGCTTGCTCAAGAAATAGCTGCATTTTATTATAAAATATATACATGTACATATTTATATATTTTGCAGTGCTTAGGATCTAACCTAGGGTCTTATGCATGCTAGGCAAGAGCTGTACTAGTGAGCTACCCCTCCATCCCCAGATCCCCCCACCCATTTTATGTGAAGTCTCTCTGTGTTACCCAGGCTGATCTCAAACTCTCGGGGCTCAAATAATCTTCCAGTCCAGACCCATGCCCAGCTGTGCATTTATTTTTTCATATTTAAAAATCCTTTGGATTTGAAAGTTTGATGTTATA